AAATCTTGCGCGGTCGCCATGGAGACGCCATGAAACAAATTAGAGTGTAGGTCTGCAATCGGGGGCTATTGGCTGCTTCGGCCGAATTCCCAAGAAGGGCGCGCTGCCGCGCGGAAGCGGAGAAAAAGGGGCACCGCCCCCCGCGGGGTAGCCATCGAGACACCGAGCGGATATACGACCCAAAACACCAGCTCCCGAGCACAACGGCACCACGAAAAGCAGACGCGCGCGCATTGCAACACATTTAACCCAACGAAGCACATTAATAGCAGCTGGGGTGGACGTTTCCAGATGTCCCAGATTTGCAAACGATGAACATGGGCGCAGCCTACGGGCGCAGCCTGCGGGGCAGCCGGCGGGAGCGCCGGTAAGTGCAACATATGTACGCGGGCAGCCTGGGGGCGCGGCCTGCGGTGGCAGCCCATGGGCGCAGCCCATGGAGCTGGGGGGCCCATGGGAGCACCATGCAGAGCATTTCACGAGGGCGCCCCAGCGCGGGGGCAGCGCGCGGGGGCAGCCTACGAAGGCAGCTCATGGATGGGGGCAGCCCGCGGACGGGCGCAGCCCATGAGAACGCGCGATGAGAGCGCAGCCACTGAGGGCAACCAGTCAGGGCAGCTTATGAAAGCACTCGGCGCGGGCTGCCCATGGATGGGGGCAGCTTGCGCGCGCGGTGGGGGGGGTGGGGGGGGGTGCGAGGGCGACCTGCTGGAGCAGGCTATGGGGGCAGCTCTTGGGCGCGAGCAATGGGGGCAGCGCGCCGTCGGGCGCCCTATGAGGTCAGCCGATCGGAAACAGCCCGTCGACGGGGGCAGGCTGGAGAAAAGGGGAAGAGGGCAAGACGAAGGGGAGGAATAATAAGGAGGACCAAGAGCAGGGGCAAAAGAAGCGCGATGAATAAGGAAGAAGAAAGAGGAACCGAGACGAGCGCCAAGACGAGAAGAAGGAAGAAGAAGGAGGACCCATAATTAAGGGAGATATCAGGGGGAGGACGACCCCCCTCGATCCTCGATCCTCCACCCTTGATCCTGCCCGATCCAATCCCCCCTCGGTCCCTCTGTTTTAATGCCGATCGATCCTCGAGAGTCCTTCGGTCCTCGGCCTCCTTTACCCTTGACCAACCCCCCATCTGCGATCCCCCCTCTATCCTCGATCTCCGATCGAACTTCGACCCTCGATCCACCTGCCCTACCACTGCTGCTGATGCTGCTGCTTCTCCCCCTCCCCTTCCTCCTCCCCCCCAATCCTCGCTCTTCGCGCCCCCCCGTTTCCCCCCCCCTCCCTTCCCACCGCCCCTCTCTCCCTCCTCGCCTTCCTACCCCCTCCCCCCCCCCTGGCTGGCTGCAGCGGAGGGGGGGGGGGGGGCTTCCCATCAGTTTTGAAATCGGCAGGGCAGTTCCGTTCGCGGAATTGGGCGCCCTGGCGCGGGCGGCCGAACGACCCCTGCAGCGGGGCGCCCTGGCCACGCAGTCGCCGCCGCAAAAACTGCTTGTCGACGCTGGCGGCGCGCAAATGCGGCGCCGAACAACGCGCGCAGCGCGCGCGCCAAAGTGCACCCGGGGCGCCGCCAGAGATGCAGCGGCGGCCGCGCTGAGGCTGCCGAAGCTGAACCACGGCCCGCGCTGGGGCGCGCCGCGGCCGAGACAGCAAGGTCGGGCAGCGCGCGCCACCCCGCCGACGACGATGGCGAATATAGCGACGACGACCCCGGCGAGTTCGACACGGACTCCTCCGTCGTTCCTCCTCCTCCTCCCCCTCCTTCTCCTCCTCCTCTGGCCTTCTCCCCTGCGCCCCTTCCTGCCCGAGCTCCCCCTCCGCGCGAATATTCCTCGAACCTCCTCCTCTCCCACCTCGCCCTCAGCGTCGTCGCCCTGATTCCTCCTGGCCGCCCCTCTTCCCCCGCCCCTCCCCCTGCCTCCTTTGCGCCGCCCCCCCCCTCCCTGATATTCATGCCTCGTCGTCGTCGTCGTCGTCGCCCCCCACCCCCATCCTCGCGGTTTCTGCGCCCCCGCCTCCTCGCGACCCCGCCCCCCTCATCCACCCCGCCCCCCCGCGCGGCCCCACTAGAGACTTCATCCCGGTTCAGCGCTGAAGACTGTAGAAGTGGCGACAAGCGCAGGATTCGACTGACCCGCTCTAATTAATGACATGATGTGAGAGCCTCACAGGGAAGGGCCCCCACTCGATACTTTCTCGCGACTCGCCCGCAGACAAGGCAGGCGGGTGTCCGCGGGTAGCGCCATGCGCGTTATATATCTGCCACCTAGCCCCGGGCGCGAAATGCACCGACCTCAATGCTCCCGCGTTCCCCGCGCGGCTGGGGCCCTAAATGCTCGAACGCACCAAGCGCCCCCGCGCGCCCCCGGGCTGCGTCGCGCGACTGCCCCAAAGGCCAGGGCCCCGAGATGCGCCCGAGAGGGTCCGAGATGCCACCCAAGCGGCCCGCGAGCGCCCCGGGCCCCTCAAGTTGCACGCGCGATGGCCCAAGACGCCCCAAGCGGCCCCAAGGGCGCTCCGAGGGGACCTCCAAGAGTGCGCCAAGAAGCCAGGATCACTCATGTTCAAATAACATGTGTTCTGCGTTCTCGCGCCCTCGGCCCTCCGACGCTCCAAGACTGCCCAGGAGGCCTCCGACATCGCCTCGAGACGGCCCAGCATGCCCCCAGAAGCTCCCGAGATGACCCACGAGGGCCCCGAGACGGCCCCAGTGCGGAGTGATTGCGGACGCATATATATATATATATATATATATATATATACATACATATGTATGTATATATATATATATATGTGGTCGACATGTTCCCAGATTCGTGCTTCCACGTGCGTCGGCAGAGCTGCGCTTGCTCTGGGCGCGCCGCACGCGTGGCCCACCTGCCCTGGAACACGCGCAATGCTATTCCGACGCCCGCGATCATGCGACATGCCAGCACTAAGTTCGAGCAAAGCGCGCGCCCGAGCGCGAACACAATCATATGCGGTAGCAGCAGGGCAATGGCAATATTGCACACGAGCGATATGCGTTGACGTTGACCATCGACGGAAGATCAAGCCACCGCCGCGCAGGAACATGCCTCCGCGCTGTGGATTTGCAGTGTTCGGCTTCGCTCGCCCATCGCAAGCGCCGCGGTTTGCTTGGCTCGCCCGTGCAAGCTCGCCCCAGGGCGACGGGTCGGCGCGCCTCGCGGGGGAGCCGCGAGCCCCTGCAATTGCATTCGCGAGCTGCGTCGCGGGCAGCCTGTCGCTGGCATCGTCGCCCCGCGCCCCAGCTACTGCCCGCGCTCGTCAACGGCGTCCGCGCGCCCGCTGGCGAGCAGCGCGGTCGCCCTGGCGGAGAAGCGCCCGCGCGGCGGCCCCGTCGCGCGGCGAGAGCCCTGGCGCCGCGGCGACGCAGCAAGCCCGCGCGCAGATTTGCGCAAATCAAACCTGCGCCCAGGTCCCAACGTCGCGCGGAGCGACGCGCGAGGAAAATGCGGGCCCGCGCCAAATCATTGGTGATTGGGTCGCTCGCTTCGGCACGGCGCACTGGCAGCGCGTCGCATGCGCCAGCGAAGCAAAAAGCGATCCTGGAACTCGCTGGCTGGTTCCGCACCGACGACGCCTCCCTGTCGCCTACCCTCCTGCGCGCGGCCTCGCGCGCCATCGCGGTCGCGCGACGGCCCCGAGCGCGCCCCTCGCGCGGCGGCCCTGCGCCGCGCGACGGGCGTGCCGAGCGCTCCCCTGGCGGAGGCCGAGGGCGAGGGTCAGCAGGCACGCGACAGTTAACAGCCGCCCGATCATGTCCGCGGCCGTCGCTAATAATGCGCCCGACAAGTCAGAATGCTCGCGGCTTCTCCGCGCGCGCGCTGCTCTCCGCGCGCCCGCAGGCGCGCCCGCCGTGCCGCGGCAAGCGAACCGATAGAAAGCGACCGGCCGCGCCGCGACGCTGGCGGCGACGAATCTCCGGGGGCGCCCTGGTCGCTCTTCCCGGGATCGCGCGTGCGCGTGCGTGAACTCGCGGGATCCGTCGCTGACTTCTGCGCCTCGCCAGCTCGGCGCGGGGCCGAGCCAGGCGCGGGCGCGCGGGGCGCGCCCCTTTGTCTCCATCTAGAAAATCAGCCGCGATCGCCAGGGGGCGGGGGGGCAGCGCTGCCGCGGCGACGAATGGTGGGCGGGAAGCACGCGCGGGTAGGACAACCCCCTGCTCCTCTCACGCGCGCCCCCCCTTCCTCGGAACGCCCAAAGACGCTGCTCGGCGGCAAACATCTCGATGCGATCCCCGCGTTTCGCCCGGGCGCCCCGCGGCCGCCCCCGCTCCGCCAACTGTCGCGAGCAGCCTGCGCCGCTCGCGCGGGCGAGCGGAAGCGACGATTGATAACGGCGGTCGCACTGTCGGCGCATATATATATATATATATATATATATATATATGAAAAAAATAAATATGCGTGGGGGAAGGACTCAGTTGCTGAAGCCCGATCGGGGGCGATTACCCCCCCCAGCAATGTCCGGCCCCTTCTCCGACTGCACCCCATTCAATCGCCGACGACCTCTCGCCCCCTCGCCTGGGAATTGCCCGAAGAAAAGGGATCGCGGGGGCGCGGAAAGGCCCGGGGCTGCGCCGTCGGCGGAGGGCGCCGCCCGAAGCGCGCCGCAATCCCCCCCCCCTCTCCGACAACCCCCGGCGGCAATCCTCGCTCGCCTCTGCGCCCCCCTCCCGCGGTCTCGGATGGCGCGGAGGGCGGGGCGCTGCAGACGGTCGACAACTGTCGGGGCGGGGAGCGGAAGAGGCAGGAACGCCGCCCATCGTCGGGGGAGCGGGCGGGCGCGCGGCCCGCGAGAGGAGGGCGCCCGGAAGGAGGCGGCGAAGCCTTTTGGAAAGCTCAAATTTTCGATGCGCAAAAACGCGTTCCGAAGCCCCGCTCGGCCCATGCCCGCTCGCACTTATGGAGCATGCTCCCAGACCAGCATGCAGTCAGCAGCTCCACTCGCGCTGAGCCCCACCTGTGCGCAGACCCACTCGCACTCGAGCCTCCTCATACACGCGCGCATTCGCCCTGCGAGCGGGGCGAATATTGCGGCGCGGGTTCGTGGCCCGCCGCGCGCGCCGCGCGCTCATCGCCGCGGGTCGCCGCGGAGCCGGGCCTGGACAGAGCGCTCAAATCGCCTCGCCGAGCAGCTCTGGCGCTGCGCGGTTGCCTCTACGGCGGCAAATGACGCTTCAATTGCAGACCTCGCGCGGGCGCTCTTGTAATCGAGCTCGGCAATCCTCGCGCGACTGGCGATGGGGGGGCAGAGCTGCGCTGCCTGAATTTGCGCGGGAGCGCCTCCGTCCTTCCGCTAGATTATCCCTCTGTGCTCTCCATGCGTCGACCGGGTCCGCCGCCCCTGGAAGCGCGCCATTCGCGCTGCCATGCATGCGCGACGCGCCTCCGTTCCCTCTTCTAAATGCACGTGCACCGTGCCGCCCAGGTCGCCCACGGCAGGCGCCCCCGCCCTGCGCGCGCCGCGCCCCGCGCGCAGGGGGGGGCAATGCCCTCGCCGGCGCAGGGGCGAAGCCTGCCAGCGCCGACCGCCCCCGCGCCACCCCAGAGCACCGCGGCGACAAGAAGCGCTGCTCTTCGAAGCTCCATGGCGAAGCGCGCGGCGTCGCTCAGAACGGTAATGACACAACGAAGTGGGCGAGCTCTCCGCAGCGCGGAGGGCGGTCTTCCCGGCGCCCGCGCGACGGCGTCGCGGGGGGGCGGGGCGGCGGCGGGCGCGGCCGATACCTCTCGCGCGCCAAAGTCGTCGGATGCGGGGCCGCCAGCAAGTCGCATGCATCAGAATAATATCTTGGGCGCGGGGGGTGGGCGAACGTCGCCGCGGCGGCGAGAACTCCGCGTCGCGCGAGCACACCCGCCAGAAACGCACAAAAGACGCTACCCTGGAAAACCCGAGGGTTGGGGGAGAGCGCGGGGAGCGCTGCGCGTTGGGTAGGCACGCGCCCGCGGGGGGGGGCGAGCGGCGCACTCGTCGCTCGCCGCTCCCCGCGGGAGCGCGCGGGTGCAGCGACACCCCGCGCCCCACCCCAACCAAAGGAGCGGCGAAGGGTGAGGGGAAACAAAAGCCGCCACGGCGGCCCGCGACGCGCGCACCGAGGGCGCCAGCCTCGCGTTCGGCCGACAAGCGCCCTCGGGGCAGCGCGCGCGACGCGGGGGTATATTTACCCTCCCCCCACCGCAGGGAGACGTGGACAAAGAACACGAACAAGACGAGGAACACGAAGTCCATGAAGACCAGAGGCGAGCCACCCCAAACGCACCCCCCAACCGACCCAACCCGCCCCACCACAGGCACCGCGGCGAACCGCGGCGCCAGCGGCGGGGCGGCAGGGGTAGAAGGTTCCCAGGTCCGCGTTTTTGTGACAACGAACAAAACTGCGTTGTGTTCTCGCCCACAAAAGACGCTACCCTGGAAAACCCGAGGGTTGGGGGAGAGCGCGGGGAGCGCTGCGCGTTGGGTAGGCACGCGCCCGCGGGGGGGGGCGAGCGGCGCACTCGTCGCTCGCCGCTCCCCGCGGGAGCGCGCGGGTGCAGCGACACCCAAGGCCCTTGCTGCACCTGCGCGCGAGGAAAACCCAACGCTGTTCTCGCCGAAGGTGTTCTATAGGCTCACAGCCACCTCAGTCCTTGTCTTCGTCGCTGGACGAAGCGCCGCCGTGCGCTTCCCTGACGGCGCTGTCCTCAAGCGCATCCCTGTCTAAATATGACAGGAAGGCGGCGGACCGCCAATCTCCGGCGCGAAGGATGTCGGCCAGCCGCGAGCCACGCACCGCCATGTCTTGGGCGTGGCCCCGACGAAAATCGTGGGTGCGATAGGCATCGTGCCGCGGCACCCCGAGCTCTTGCAGGGCCGCTCTCAACGCCGATAGGACAGCGTCCGGGCGGAAACCCGCAAAAGGCTGCTGGGCCGCGCTGTCGGCGCAGAATTTCCCCAGCGCGTGCACGGGGCACGTTGATGGACAGCGCGCGCACCAGCACGTGCGCGTCATCGTGAGCGGCGTGGCGCGATTCTTGCGCCAAAGCAACGTCAGCGAGATCGAGCCGTCATGCAGGCGTAGGCAGCTCTTCGGCTCGACCGCCCGCGGCGGATCGCCGTCCCGAGCGACGTGCATCGGCAGTGCTTCCGACGGCAATCGCAACAGGAATATGTACGCCGTCAAGAAAAGCATCTGCAGCTCGCGCCCCGATTGGTGGCGTTCGAGATGCTTCAGTAATCTGGCGAGGAGCGCCTCCCGAATAAACATCTTGGGCCTGGCCTGCCAAGTGTTTCGCGCTTGCACCGCGCGAGCCGCGCGCTCGACTGCCGGGTCGCTCAGCGCGTCCAGCGGGACGCGCAACAGGATGCAGACTAATCTGACGTGCGAAATATAGTTGTCGAATGTTCCTTTACAACGGAAGCATGTGCTCCACAATGCAAGGCCCTCGGGCGACGGCGGAATCACTTCCCCCGCGTCGCAGCCGAGCACGGTCATGGCGAAAGTCGCCCAGCAGCGGAAGGCGCTGACTACGCTGGGCCACGTTTTCGGGCAGCTGCCCAGAATCGCGGCGACCCGAGCCGAATTCGACCATTCGCTGAAGCTTCGCTGGGCGAGGCCCTGCCGCAGGGCCTCGACTTCACGGCGGGGGCCCGCGCGCGGCTCGATGGTGCACTGGCGCGCTATGCTGACGGCCAGCTCAAGGTCCCGCACAGCACCGCAAGCCGCCGAAAGCTCATCGCACTTGGCAGCTCGCCGCCTGGCAGGGCGACTGCGGCTGCGGCACTCGCGCAGATGCACGTCGGGTGCAGGCGGAGGTTCGTCCTTTGCGCCGCGCACGACGGCAGATGGCTTCTTCGCTTCGTTAATTAACTCTGACAGCGCTACGCGCAGGGCGTCAGGGCTGACGCCTCGTTCCCCTTCTGCGGCAGACACCGGTTCGAACCAATCGACGCGCGCTAGCTGCAGATCTCTGAGATGCGTTATGTCCTGGCGCCGCAGCAACTCGATCAACGCAAAGGTAACCATGGGTGAAAGCTCTGGCAGGACGCCGCGGACCTCATGAAACAACGTCATGGCTTATCGCTCGACTGAGCGCCCGTCGCTGGCTGCGCTGGGACCGCGCGCTGACGCATAGGACAACCGACCAGGGGCCCATGGATGGGGCCGGTTAACGACGCAGCTTCCAATGTCGGCTTTTGGCATCAACTCGCGCGGGCCGCCCTCGCAAGGCACGCGCGAGGCATGGCTCGCAACGGGCTCGACGCGGGACAGCGGCTCACTCGCCTTCGTTGCTTCGTGCCGCCTTCGATGCGCAACGGCGCTCGCGGGGCGCGACGACGCGCGACGGCGCGCTCCCGCCGGCAGAGCGCGGGCCAGAAACGTCTCCGGTGCGAAGAACTCAGCCGCGCGTAAGCGCGGCGTCACGAAGTTCGCCCCAAGAACACGTAGCAACTCGTACTCCTCCCGCGACGGAAGGTCGGCGATGTTCTCTGCTGATGGGACCCGCGCAAACCACGGCGAACACCGGGTGCGTGCGATGAGGAACCACATGGCGTGAATGATGCGGGAGTGGTCCCAAGCGGAAGCGCGACCGCTCCGCACTGCCCCTTCTGCGCCCACATTGTCGGACCAAATCACCACTCGGCGGTCCGCCAGCAGTTCACTAAAGGTAGCTAATCCCAGCGCTATAGCGAGCAGTTCTAACGCCATAATCTGAGAGTCCCGGCGCGGCGCCAAGTCCTCCAGCAGCTCCTGGTCTGGAGGGGCGTCGGACCAGAAGGCGCGACCATCGACGAACAGCACGGCGGCGAGCCGTGGATCGGACCCGCCCCTTGCGTCAGCGAACAAGTGCACTTCTTGCCGTTCCAGCTGCGCCCACGGCTTGGACTGATGGATGCCGAGGGCCAGCACCTCCGCCCACCATGACAGCGCCAAGTTGAGCGGGGCGCGAACGACACCCCGTCGCGCATTCTGCTGCGCGAACAGGGGCTGCAACATCGCACGCCCTAGCCGCTCGAAGCAATGTTGACCTGCCCAGCTGAGAGCGCCGGCCAGCTTGCTGGCTTGGCCGGCACATAGTGTCCCGCAGTCGAGCGCTTGCTTGATCAAGAAAAGCCACTTGCGCACCTTCTTGGGCGCGGGAAACAAGTTGATCCCGCTGAGAGAAAAGGACACATGCAGGCCCAAAATCTCCAGCTCGTCGCCACATTCCAGCTTCTTATCGGAAACCGCTCCTGGACCTAGGAGCAGGCGCACTAGTCTGGCCAGCGATGCCATGGTATGCTCTTTAGTTGCGGGTGCGCACGGCCCAAAGAAATCGTCCACGTATCGGAGGGTGGGAATCTTTAAGAGCTTGCGGGCGAGGTGCGCCAAGGCAGCTCCGACTCGGTCCCACCCAAAGACGGCAGCCAGGGCGCCGAACATCAACGCCAGGTGACCAGTGACCCAAATGTCTCCGTCGTGCAAATACGTGCTGTAAGCTGCCCACCTGTGGCAAGGCCGACATCGACACCGCAAACGCCGGGTTCCTCTGGAACCCCGACACGAGCCCCCAGGTCGATGCTTTTAACGGGGGGGGGCACCCGGAAATCCCGAGCCAGTGTTCAGGAGCGATAGGCACACGCCGGTAAGCGGAGTCGATGTCAGCCTTAAACAGTGCCGGTGCGTGCCCGCGCAGACCGTGATAGCAGCGCAGGGCGTCCACCAAAACGTCAGCCCCGTCCAGCATCAACCTCTCGGCGGGCTGGCACGCCGAGTTGATGCCCCCTCTCGATTCATCGTCTACTACGCGAACCTTGGGCGCGCCATCCGGCTTGACGCCCTGCACAATGGAGAAACGCGGGGACAGACGCACCCTGCCCAAGTCCGCCTTGGCCAGCACAACCGGAGCGGTCATCCGCGACAGAGACGCATCGGCGAGCGCGCCCTCGTGGATCGCAGACGAGTTCACGTCCTCTCGCAAGGAAGACAAAATGGCTCTATTGTGCACGGGGGAGGAGGTCCGCAACTCCTCGGACGACGTGGGCTCCGGGAATTTCTTTGCGGGCCCTCTGCCCGCATGGGGCAGCTTTCCGAGCAAAGGCGCGCCGTAGCGGAACAGATCAGCCGCGGCCGTGTCATCGTAGCTCGTCATGTCGAGCAGAGCAGCTAAAAGCGGCCCATTCACGTCGGCGGACACGGCGCGCGTCGCGTCGTCAGCGCCGGCGAACCATTGCTCGACGGCCCCGTCACGTCGTAACGCTTGTCCCCACGCTTCCAGGCGTGATAGCATATTGTCGCGCAGACGCATAACCTCTACGCTGTCTCTGGGCGCTTCCCACTCTATGGCGCAGCGAACGTCTTCCTCAATCCCGCGCGATGGCGCGATGTGAAAACCGTCCTTCATTGCACAGTTGATAAATTCTATCTTCTGCACGTCGCCAGCGTCAAGCTCTCCTACAACGCGACAGATTTTTAACGCGCGCGCGCGGGAGCAAAGACGGATACGCGATGGGGCCTTTCGACAAATGGGCTTGCACCCCGCCCACCGCGGAAGCGCCCGCGCCGGCAACTTCTTCCAGTGAAACAACCGGTGTAGGCTGCGCCCCGCGCGTCCACACCGAATTGGTAGCCTGCGCAAGCGCGACGCCACCG